CTTTATATAAAATAGAAAAAAACTGGAAAAATTGAGATGGTCTTCAACAGGTGAATGAATTTAACTCTGATAAAACAAAGGAATACTATTCAGCAATAAATGGAAAAAGGTTGAAGATGCAAGGAGAGGCTGATTAAAAGGGGCCGCAGGGAAAATTTTTACAGTGATGGAACAATTCTAAATGGTACTAAGAACAGGGCACATCATCTCTGTAGTATTCATCTGCAAACTCCTAACTTCATTCTAACAATGAGAATAATAACAGACAAACCCAAACTGAGGATCATTCAAAAAATACTTGATCCATACATACTCTTCAAAACTATCAAGGTAATAAAAAACATGAAACAACTAAGAAACTGTCAAAATAGTTGAAAAGACCAAGGAGACATAATGAATAAATGCAACATGGTGTCCTGGATTGGATCTTAGAAGAAAAAGGGACACTTCCCCAAATATGATCTGTAGTTTAGTTACTAGTATTGCACCATTGTTAATTTATTAGTTTGGCAAATTACCAAAGCTGTGTAAGATGTCAACATTAGGGAAACATGAGCAAAGAGTATATGGAAACTTCTGTACTTTCTTTTGCAAACTTTCTATAATTCTAAAATTATTCCAAAATAAAAAGTTTTTTTTAAGATAAAAGCAAAACAAGAACATTTTCAAGAACTCTGTCACTTGTGGGTGACAGATACAAATTACAAGACATATATATATATAAAAGATTCTTTTATATATATAAAAGAATGCTTTTCAGGCTGATTGTAGTTGGAAATGCGAACATAAACAATGGACTTAAACAGACATATTAAACGTATGGTAAGTATAAATGAAATCCCTTATTTTAATTTATTTTGAAATAAATTATTCTTGTAAGTAATGACAAAGTATTATGAGACATATAACAATGTCATAAACAATAATAATAGAAGATGACAGGCAGACAAAGGAAAGATATGTTTTTAAGTTCCTACATTATCCTTCAAGAAGTATGACAATATTTGAAAGTTTGGTGAAATAGGTAAAAGGTTCAAAATGTAAACCCCATCAATGAAACATAAAACAGATAAGCATTAGGAAAAAAATGGATACAAATTCCTTGAAAAGACCTATAAAATTAATAATATTTCAGCTGAACTAATCAAGGGGAGAGAGAAAATAAGACAGAAGTTGCCAATATTAGGAATGGAAGAGGGAACATTACTACAGATGCTACAAAAAGGTAAGAGAATATTATAAGCAACTTTGTGTCAAAAAATACGAAGTCAGATCTGAAACTGGCAAATCTTTCTTTCTTTCTTCCTTCCTTCCTCCCTTCCCTTCCTTCCATCCTTCTTTCCTTCTTCCCTCCCTCCTTTCCTCCCTCCTTCCCTTTTCTTTCTTTCTTTCTTTCTTTCTTTCTTTCTTTCTTTCTTTCTTTCCTTCCTTCCTCCCTCCCTCCCTCCCTCCCTCCCTCCCTCCCTCCCTCCTTCCCTCCCTCCTCCTTCCCTCCCCCCTCCCTCCCTCAGTCCGCCCGTCCGTCCGTCCTTCCTTCCTTCCTTCCTTCCTTCCTTCCTTCCTTCCTTCCTTCCTTCAAGTACGCTCCAGGCTGGGTGTGAAGCCCAAGAAGAAAGGCATAAATTTCTTAGAAACAAAAGCAAAGCTCAATCAGAAATTAATAGACAATCTGAATAACTATATAGCCTTGTAACTATTAAAGATGTTGAATATATATTTATAAACCTTCCACTCTTAAGTATTTACGAGGTAAATTAAGACCTATACAAAGTCTTGAACAAGAATGTTCACAGCTACTTTATTATAAGACCCAAAATTTTGCAAAAAATCTAAGTATCACCAAACACATGAATGGATAAACAAATTGTGAAACATTCGTATAATAAAAGAGTATGCAGCAGTAAAAAGAAACAAACTACTAATATACACAACAACATGAATGAATTTCAATAATATATCTGGCAAAGATACCAGGAACAAAAAAAAGTACACATTAACATGAAATTTTAGAACAAAGAAACTAATACATAGTGCCAAGGAACAAGCAGTGACTGACTAAAAAGGGGAATGACAGGTACATAAAGTTATAAATTTGAGAAAAATCATCTAACTGTACACTTAATATGGGTACATTTGCTTGATGGAAATTATGCTTCAATAAAGTTGAAAAACATTTTAAGAGAAAGTTTAAACTGTCTCCATTTTATTAATGTAATTTAAAATGTCAATCATTGAAGATTGCTAAATTAGTTGCTTGCATCTCGGGTATCAATGAAATACTTTTTTCAGCAAAATCATTGTACATTCTGTTTTTAATAAAAAATTTCAAAGGTAATTATTCCATTAAAATAATCAACTTCAATCCAAATGTAATGTGAAGATTGTATTTCTCACATATTTCAAAAACAATAAGGATCGATTCAAATCACTAGTAATATAATTAACAAACCATAGAGAAATTGTGTTGAATATTCTTAGTAGTTTAACCCTTTCTCAAAACAAAAGAAATAACCACAAATATTCAAATAATGATTCCCTAAGAAAAATACATACTAGTTATTATTATTATAAAATATATAGTTCAGAGAGTTGTCATCTTTAGAAGAATTTACTTTTTTTTTCAAATATTTTTATTTATTTCTAGGAGAAAGAGAGAGAGACAGCGTGAGCAGGGGAGGGTCAGAGAGAGAGGGAGATACAGACTCTGAAATAGGCTCCAGGCTCTGAGCTGCCTGTCAGCACAGAGCCCGACGCGGGGCTCGAACCCACGAACCGCGAGATCATGACCTAAGCGAAAGTCGGACGCTTAACCGACTAAGCCACCCAGGCGCCCCTAGAAGAATTTACTTTCTTAACTGGAAAAAGTAAAAACCAAATTATTATTATAGATGGTTTCTTGAAGTAATTCACTGTAATAAATGAAAAATACAACAGAAAAATAAAATTACTTATTAAACAAATTTAAACAAATTAATGACTAATATAATGTAGCAGGAGTTAAGTGTAACTATTGCACTTTAAAGGGGTCAGGTTGATAAAGGGAAACATAAATAAAACTTTTAGAGAAAAGCTAATTATCCATTATAAAATACAAATGTTTAAAAAGCCCCTGTACATAGAGTTCAATTTCAGTTACCAAACACCCAAGACTTTAAATTTCTTCTCATTTGATCTGTATTCATTTTTCAAATTAAGTACTGTTACAGAATTTATTTAAAATATTTCTTACTGTCCAGCCTCCATATATGGAAAAAGGGCAGGGTATAAAATTATGTGTTTATTAATTTAAGAAAGTAGAAAAAAAATAAAAATAGTGTCATAAATTAAAATAGCCTTTAATGTTAGTTGAAATCAACTTTTATTTATGTTAAAGAACTTGGAAAAACCAAATAAGCTGAAATGTAAAATAAAGGGAGGGAGGAAGAAAGTAGAAAAAGGGAGGCAAGAATGCCAGGGAGGGGAAAATCAGCGAAGGGGAGGGAAGAACAGAGAAGGAAATTTTCATATAGCCCCTACCAAGACTATGAAATTCAATTGTAATTCATTACTTACAGAGTCATCTATCATACTTTCACATTGCTTATCAGTAAGGTCACAGTATATGCACATATGAATTTAAAATGCTAGGCATCCTGAATATAAAAGCACAAAATACTCTATTTAAATTCACTGAAACCAGCCAATATCTTAGAAATTAATCTTCCTCATTATGAACTGCAAACAAATAATCACATTAATGAGGTCTCTATCAGGAGCATCTCACTCACCTTAACTCAAGATAACACACCAGGTTGTGTTTACTGATGCAATTAATTTGTACTATTCAAATGGGTCCAGAAATCTGGCCTTGGCATCAGTACCTTTGGCCCTGAATAAATTAAAACTGCTAAAAAGCGATAATACTAAAAAATTCAAACAAAATGTATACTCTTACCATTTTATCTGATTATTAAGTACTACGCAATATTTATCTGATTGGCAGCATAATATAGAAGCAGCAACCATTTCTTTAATGATTGGCTATAAACATATGGGCAGTTTCCCAACTATAAAATGGGAATAACAGTACACACCCTCACATAACCGTAAAGATCATATGAAATAAGGTTATGTAAAGGTGATTTATAAATTGTAATACAATTTATAAATATCAGGTACTACTATCTTTCCTTTGGTCAATAGAAACGAGGTATACTACCCTTCTGTCAACTTCTTATCTATCATGGGACCTTCATTCTTGCTGTTCCTTCTACCTGGACTGCAATTCGTTTGACTCATTCTCATAATTCAGATCTCTATTTAAATAAATGTCACTTCTTTTCAGAGACAGTTCCTGAGAACCTTTATCAATTACAACATATTAGAAGTTAGAGAAAGTCTAATTCAAAATAGCTTCAAAGATAAGGAGATTTTAACTTCTCAGTAGATAAACAGTTTATTTAGTCTCTCCAAAAATTGATTTCCATCTTTCTATTCTATCCCCCTGGCATGTCAGCTGCTGTCCTTATGCTAGCACTCTTCATGAACAAGTTAGCTGCCTCAACCCCAACTACATGTAATTACGGAACATTACCAAAGAACAACAGGTAATCTCCTTTGGTCTCTCATTTTAAGGAAAAAGAAACTACTGATAGAAGTCTCCCCCAGAAGATCTGCACATTTTATTTCCAAGACTGACTCACCTGTGCCTCACAAAATCATTCACTGACAAATGGAATGGGATTACTATTATGGCTTAGACTAATCAGGATTTATCCATAAGGATAGGCTTCAGAATAAAATTAGGACCTTGAAAGCAAGAAAAACAAATGGTTACAACACCCTACAAGAATGCTACGACATCTTGTCTTTTAAAAAAAAAAAAACCACTCACCATTCTTCATGATTCTCTATCACAACACTTAGTGGCTTAATTACTTCCAATACTAAAAGGTATGCACTAGTAGAACAGGGACTTAGAGTACAGTGCCTAAATCACAGCAAGCACTTTATTAATATACGTTGAATGAAAAACTAAATGCATGAATATTACCCAAGTGTGCAAATATTTATTTAATACCTATAATTAAAATCCTAGCCAAAAAGAAAAAATTAAACTTGTCTTAAAATCAAGATTTTAATAAAGAATTAGATAAAGAATTAGAAATAAGATTCAAAGGCAATTTCATATGTTTATTCATTCATTTTTATATGCAGAAAATGTCAAAACTAGATGCTCAGAAGGAAATATATCCAAAATAATTTCAAACCAAAGACCTGCATTCAAGTCAATTCATGATAAACTACAGGGTCCAGAAATAATATAATGGAAAATAATAAAGCTGAACAAGACAGAGAAAGAATTATCCAACACAAAAACAGACTTAGGGAACTCAGTGATGATATCAAACACAGTAACATCTGTATTATAGGAATCCCAGAAGAAGAAGAGAGAAATTTTATTTTGAGAAATCATAGCAGAAAACTTCCCTATCCTAGGGAAGGAAACAGACATCTAAATCCAGGAGGCACAGAGAATGCCCATCAAAATCAACCAAAGCAGGGGCACGAGGGTGGCTCAGTCAGTTAAGCATCCCACTTTGGTTTAAGTCATGATCTCACTGCTTGTGGGTTAGAGCCTCACATTGAGCTCTGTGCTGACAGCTCAGAGCCTGGACCATGCTTCAGATTCTGTGTCTCCCTCTAACTCTATGGCCCTCCCCTGCTCATTTACTCTCTCTCTCTCTCTCTCTCTCTCTCTCTCTCTCTCTGTATCAAAAATAAACATTTAAAAAAATCAGCAAAGGCAGGCTTATACCAAAGACATATTGTAATTAAATTTGCAAAATATAGTGATAATGAAAAAATCTTGAAAGCAGCAAGACTTTCAAAGAAATCCATAACTTACAAGGGAAAACCAACAAGGGTAGCTAGAAATTTCTTAACAGAAACCTAGCCAGAAGGAACCATGATATTCTCAAAGTGCTGAATGGAACAAATCTGTAGCCAACAATACTCTATCCAGCAAGGCCTATCATTCAGAAAAGGAGAGATAAAGAGTTTCCCAGACAAATAAAAACAAAGAAGTTCATGACCACTAAACAAGCCCTGCAAGAAACATTAAAGGGGACTCTGAGTGGAAAGGAGAGACCAAAAATGTCAAAGAAAAGAAAGCATTGGAGAAAATCTCCAGCAATGATAAAACATGTAATAAAATGACAATAAATACATATCTATCAATAATTAATTTGAATGTAAATGGACTAATCATTCCAATCAAAAGACACAATGTAGCAACATGGACAAAATTATAAGACCCATCTATATGCAGCCTACAAGAGACTCATTTTAAAGCTAAAGACACCTGCATATTAAAACTGAGAGGGTGGATAAATATTTATCACACCAATAGATGTCAAAAGAGTAGCAATACTTAGATCAGACAAACTAGATGTTTTCTGTTCTTGTATTACTTTTATCCTGCTTTTGTATCAGGGTAGACCCAGTCTCATAGAATGATATTGAATGTATTCCCTCTATTTCATTATTTGTAAGATTTTTATAAAGGCTGTCATTAATTTTCTTTTAATGTTTGGTAGAATTCACCAATGAAACCAATGAAACCATGTGGTCTTGGGCTTTTCTGTGCTGGAAGAGTTTTGATTCCTAATTCAACTTTCATTCTTATTCTTGGTCTAAGAAGATTTCTTACTTCTTGGATTCAAGATTCAGGATTCAGTTGTGGTAACTTGTGCATTTTGGGGAATTATGTGGGGTTTTTTTTTTGTAAGTTATCTGTTAGTATACATAACTGTCTATAGTAATTTGTTATCATGATACGGATTTCTGTGGTTATGTTATATTTTTTAACCTTCCATTTCTCATTGTGGCTTTTTAGTCTCCTTTGTTTTCTTAGTTAATGTAGTAAAGCATTGCCAGTTTTGTTTATTTTTTGTTCGTTTTTATAATTACTGGTCATTACTTTCAATGTTATATTATTGTTTATTCTGGCCTATATTTTTTTATTTCTGATTTTTCTTTGTTATTTCCTTCCTTTATCAAATTTCAAGTTTCTTATTTTTCTTAGTACCTTGTGGTATAATATTGTTTTAAACTTTTAAAAAAATTTTTATAAAAATGTTTATTTATTTTGAGAGAGAGTGCACACACAGGAGAGGGGCAGAGAGAGAGAGAGAGAGAGAGAGAGAGAGAGAGAATCCCAAGTAGGCTCCACACTGTCAGCACAGAGCCCAATGAGGGGCTCAAACTCATCAATTGTGAGATCATGACCTGAGCTGAAATCAAGAGTAAGATGTTCAAATGACTGAGCCAACCCAAGCACCTCTGAACTTTTTTCTAAATACAAGTATTTTCAGCATCAATTTCACTCTAACATCTGCTTTTGCTGCATACCGTAAGTTTTGCATACCATATTATGTTTTCTTTTTTTTTGTTTTGAGACATGTTTTGATCTGCTGTTTGATTTCTTACTTGACCCATGGCTTGTGCAGTAGTATGTTGGTTTAATAGTTACATATTAAATATTTCATATTTACACATTATAGATTTTTCACTTTTCTTTTACTGTTGGTCTTTAGTTTTACATCATTGTGGTTGAAAAATATACTTAGTATGATTTCAGTCTTCTTAAATTTATATTTGTTATATCTCTTTTTATGTGATTTAACCAGGAGATACTTCTGTATGTACTTGAAGAAAATATGTATTCCACTTTTCTTGGATGGAATGTTTTATATATATGTTTTAGAATCATGTACTCTGAAATATGCTTCAAGTAAAAAAAATTCTTCTTGCAAAAAAAAGTAGTAACTTTAACTGAGAGTACTCATTTAAAATAATGCATATCAGAAAGGAGATGGGTAGAGGGATGGGTAAAATAGATGAAGGGAATTAAAGAGTACACTGATCATGATGAGCACTGAGTAATGATGTACAGAATTGTTGAATCACTATATTGTATGCTTGAAACTGATATAACATTGTGTTTTAACTATACTGGAATTAAAAATTGAAAATGTGATTTTAAAAAGCCATTGCATTTAATAGCTAACAAGGGAACACAGATGTACTGAAAAATTCCAAGTCATATCCAATACAAATAATGAATAAAGATGCACAATCTTTCTAGAGAATTCTTTCTAAAGAACAGAGTTTAAAAATTCAGATTCATACAGATTTAAAACTATTTCCAAAGAATAGGGCAGATTCAAAAGGGTAAGAAACATTTTGTGCTACAGAAAATTTCAGTGAGATAAATTTCTTTATAAACAAAAAAACACAAATTTAATCTTCATGTAAGAGGCATGAAAGCCCTTTCAGGGCTAATCTTTACTACTGTATATCTGAAGAACATGATAACAATATTATTGGCTAATAATTCACTAATATGTGAGCCAGATGGGTGACACAGAGACAATCTATATATTCTAAAGAAAGAAAAGTTTAAATAAATTATGAGACAACCATTGATGAGACATTATAACTCAATTTAAAATGTTAAGTATGAAGACAAATACAAACAATATACTATTAGGTGAAACTGCAGGATGCAGAAGGATTTGATGTTGACAGGTAGATAGCATGATGTCTTGCAAAGTATAAGCTCTAAGGTCAGATAGAAGTGGGTCTAAATCCTGGCAATACCAATACAGAATTGGGCCAGCCAAGAATTAGACAGGGCATTTCACCTTCTCTGAGCCTGAATTTTTTTATCCTTAAAATGACTGTAATAATTCTTCTTATGTGGCCCTATTATTCTAAGTATAATGATGATAATAACTACATTTATATGGTGCTTCCTGAATGCAAGGTATTTTTCTCAATACTTCACAAGTGTAACACTATTTAATCTTCTCAACAACCTCCTGATATAAGTACTATGACCCATTTTACAGTGGAGGAAATTAAGGCACACTGAGATTCAGTAACTTCTTCAAGGTTGTAAAGCCAGTAAGTGGCAGAACTAAAGCCAGTGATAGCTATTTTGTTAATGTTATTAAGAATAACCTATTGACTTTAGGAATTACAAGAGAAGCTAGAAAATCTCCTTCTACACACACTTTTTAACTCAAGTACATGAAACAATATAACTAGGATATGTTAAGTACAATATTCAATCCAGAGGTTGTAAAGCCTCAAACTCTTCTTCCCAAATAGCATACTATTAGGAAAACTAGATAAAACAATTTATGGTTAATTTTTTTTTTTAACATTTAATGAAATGATTTTTGGTTCCATTCCAAGATGGTAAAGATGGACTTCTCTCTATATCTCCCACTAAGAACAGCTAAAAACCTTAAGCACTCTGTATAAAACAAATATAAGAAGACTGTGAAAGATAAAAAGAAAAAACAGAGCTGCTGGTAATCTAGGAACTAAAGGAATAAAATAACAGTGAGTTCTTTAATTTTTCTTTTTGCCTCATATATCTCAGAAGGAAAAAGAATAACAAAAAAAAACAAAAGCATGAGTAAACATAGAATTTTCCTTCTTTTCTTGAGTTTTCTACATTACACTTTGATAATGTACTTTATGGTTTTAAATATGTGCAGAGAAAATATTTAAGACAATTATATTATAAATGAGAGAGAGTAATGGGACTTCAGAAAGTTTCTACATTTCCCTCAAATTGGTAAAACATCATTGCCATAGAAGGTGATAAATTATGTATCTTTAAGGCAATAATTAAAGCAACTACCAAGATATATATACAAAGTGATATACTTAGTAACATTTAGCAATGTAATCATTAGAGGTTTAACAGAGAATGAGTTTTACAGTCAACTGGAAGAGTGTTTACCCATTTCATCTACTTTTTAGCTGTGACTGTGACCAAATTATTTAATCTCTTTGTAAATTAGTTAAGAACATGCATTTTAAACCAATTAAGCTAGAACATATTAGCTATAATTATTATAGATATTATTATAGTATTTTAATTGAGCCAGACTATTAACTCTGTCTCGTTTATTTATTTTGCTAGTTTATTTTTTAATGTTTATTTTTGAGAGAG